CGCAGTGGAGCCGGGGCGCGGAGCCGGCCCTGCGGAGGTGTTGGCTGTACCTGCCTCGAGAAGAGTGCTGAAAAACCGCCCTTCTCGCCACTGAGAGCAAGTCCAAATGCGTTTCCACTCATGAGCGTTACGTTACTTTTTATTGTCATCATCTTCTGACAGAAACATACCTTTGTGTGTGTTTGTGCTGCCAGTAGGGCCAAAAGCATCGGCTTATTGCAATAGTGTCACGGCCTCTGGTTTACCATGCGGTAACCTGCACCCTGCGTGGATGCAGCTTTGTGGGTTATCCTGGTAAGGGAGTTAGATTATTGCCTTGGGAAAGCGGAGAGGTGGCAATGTTACTGCTATTATGCAAGTTCAATGAATAGAAAACTTCTGTTATCAGAGTCCAATTCTAAGAGCAAAAGTCTTGGTCTTTTCCCAAGTCTGAGAGCAGTGAGACTGATCAGGAAGCTGAGAGACCAGCACCATAGTTCTGCGGTGCCTGAATGGGGTTCTCTTCATTTAGTGCTTTATAATGCCTTAAAGTAGGTATTTTGCATTAAAACGGCCATTTTAAATGTAGGAATAAAGTTGCTTATTCTAATATAACTCAGCTGAGGCATCTGTAGTACACATGGAGATCCCTGGCATCACTACTTCCTAATTACAATGGTAGGATGGTAAACCTGCTGAGTTTGGCTGTAAGAATTTTCTGTATTGTGTTATCTGTAAGATTTTTTTCATATCAGGTCCATTGTCCTCCTTTATTTTTCTCATCCTGACTCAGTAATCTATGTGGGTCATGCCCTGCTTTTGCCTTTTTTTTTTTTTTTGAAAGTGGAGCCAGTAATACTTAGCAATGTCCTGGGGATTTAATTGCTTATAGAGGAATTCAAGTTGAAAAGCACTATTATATACTAATAGAAATAATAGTTAATTGTGTGCAAACATCTGCATTTTACTTACATTAAAGTATTTAAAATTATTATTTTGGTCAAAAATCTTTTTGATTAATCATTTGATTTTGATTTTACTTACAAAAAAGTAAAGGGTTCTTTTATCACTGAGAACCCTGAACTTGACTTAAAGCCAAGATGAGGCTCTAAAGTTCTCACTTGTTTTTAAAGATTAGATACCGTGTTAAACTAATGTTTGTTGTAATTTTTATTGTTTCAAACCAGAATCAGTTTTCTTCTACCTTTAGAAACTAATGTTTGTTTAGGAGAAAAATAAATATGTTTTTAAAGTCTTCTGGATAAATGTTGTACTTCTTTTTACTTTTAGAGTATGAAGCAGAACAACCTCCGTTTCCAGATGTTTCTGAATCAAAACATGGATCTGTGAGTATAGTTCAAGTAAAAAAATCTGCATAGGGCTGGCTTTAAAAGATTTTAAATAACCAAATGGGAAAATTAGGTACCCGCAGAGTAGACTGATTCATAAAATGAAAACAAAACTACATTTTGCAAACAACTTTTGTGAATCAACAAATGTAATATTCCAAATCATTGCTTTTATTTAAAGCAACTTGGGTAGCACTATCCTAAAATTAGATTACCAGCTGTGTTTGGTTTGTACATCTCGCTGTCTTTTTCCTGTGACTGCTTCGTAGGCAGGACTCTGAAGTATGCAAGGATCTCCTTTGGGTGGTGTTGCAAGCAGACTGAGCACTGAAATACACAGGAGAGGCAAGCAAGTGCAGCAGAGGGGTTATGCCCCAATTTCACATATGTGATCGGTCACTTAGATGTAGCCATTGAAATTAGTGGAATTAAACCTGATCAAAGTTGTTTGAAGTCTAATTTTGACCAAATAAATTCAGTCTAGGAAGACTTGCTTGGCAGACTTAAGAAAGACAAACCGCTTTAAATCTTTGTCCCCAGCAGTTCTAGGAGCAGCAAAATTAATTCTTTTGGGCATCACATACAGAGTTAGCTTTCATTTAAATTAGGCATTTTTGTAGATGTTTTATCTTATTATTCTGTATTTAGGTTACTTTGTTATTTTAAAACTATTTTAAGACGTTGTAGTTTAAATTGTCTGACAGTTGGTTTGTTTAGACCTATCCTGTTTCCCCAAATGAAACTGGCTTCATTACAGGCTGTTATTGAATTTGAATAGTGAACTCTGCTTGGGGCATTAGTCTGGGCATAATATATTGATATATTTGAGCATCAGAATGAAATATTGTACCTTTTTATGTTGATGCACTTTTTTTTTAATTTCCAAAAAGATCATTTTTTGAATCTTGCATATATTAAAAAGGAGTCTCTCTGCAGTCATTGACATGCAGTGTATTATAAGTGTAGTGGCCTGATCCCACCACCAGCTTTTCAGTAGCTCATAAATCCAACTGAATTTTAAAGTGAAACTGTTGAGATGACATAGTTTTCATAACATGTTTTCATAGCAAACTGTAATGGTGGTGCATTCTTGGGGATAATAGGAGGTATCTGCCTTTCTATAACAGGTGTAGCTCAGTGTCTGTTAGGAGTATTCCCCTGGCTCACTGTAACAGTTCCTGCACTCGTAAAAACTATACATAAAATTGCGGACTATTTTTTTCATGGTATCCATAATTGTTTCTGTATGGGGAAACTTAAGATTTGGATTTGCATCTGCTCTGAAGTTGTCTGTTTGTGCTTTGTTTATAAGGAAAGTTTCTTTTCTTTAAAAGGTAAGTGTCAGGACTTCTGAACAATACAGAAACAAATATATAAGCTTCTGAGTGGAAAAATACTTATTCAGAAAATGTTGCCAATTTTAATTTATAAAGAATTACTATTTCTTACAATGGCTAACATATTTTTTAAATTGCGATATCTCACCATATTCTCTTAAAAGCAGTCATATACCTTCTGTTAGGTTTGGATGCTTTTGTTGTGCTGGAAACTGCAGAATTTTTTAAAGTGTAATTCTTTCTTTTAAAGTACTCGGGAAATACGGAAATAATTTAATATTTGAATTAGAAATTATAATTCCATATATTTTTAAATGACCTTATAATTTTTCCTGTTGAATTGGCTTCTATATTTTTTTACAGTCTGATTGTGGTATTTATATAGGTTACATTTATCTTGAACAGGTGTCTTTGGAAGCAGGAATATTGCAGCCATTACATATGGAACAATTTTATTCAGCCCCTGCAGCTGATACTGTTGTCCAACAGTTGCTTCCCATATCTGAGGCAGCCGCCTTTCCAGAACCACCTGATCCAAAAACGTGTAAGTAGGAATATATTATCTTGAACCCTGCTGTGATTATTCTTCTTGCATTTGGCAAGGGTTTGTCATTTGTTGAATTTAAAGTGTTAACAGCTACAACACCTTTTCCTAAGTGGAATTTGCATGATTAGTCCCCTGGTCTGTAAACAGGGAGCCAGCTTGGCCACTTGGTCAATGGAGAAAGCTCAAATGGTGCCTTACAAATCAGTACTATTGTCTAGCTGTTAAGGTAGCTCTGTTCTCTTCTGAATAAGTAACTTTTTATTTAGCCACTTAAATCAGAGAAAGGCAAGCATTTCTTCCTCGGATTTAATAATGCAAAACTGGGATCAATAAACTAAATAAACAATTGAGTTTGAAAACTGCTTTCAAAATATTATCTTTGCCTGTCTGATTACAAATTAGAATGGAAACAGCTCTAAAGTTTTGTTCTTCCATTTTTATCAATTTCTATACTTTATAAAAGTTACCAAGTAGCAATATATTTTTATTATGCATTTTAGCCCTCCTTTTTGTCTTTTCTTCTCTTCCATTCATTCTTGCTCATTAGGAATTCCTGTTGCTAGTCAGAAGCAGTGTTACCCTTGGCTTTTATATATATAGTGTCCTTCCAATTATGAACATTTTCTGGCAGAATATGAACCAATTAAAGGTATAAAGCAGAGAATAAATTCAGTGTTTCAGCTGTGTTGCCAGAAGAGAACACTTCTATGACTTAATCTTTACTGACCACACGAAAACCTGAATACTTACTGAATGGCAGGCAATCTGGCTTTAAATCAAGGACAGCACTTCAGCCAATAAGCCACCCCTGCTTGTCTAGGATCCTAACAGGTTTTGTTTTGTTCACCTTTCTGAGGGAAGTGCTCTTATGGCTTCATACAGGGTCATGCTCCCTGTTCCCCCTGGCCCAGTGAACTTGAGTTCCTCCATGTGCAGTGTCTTCATCAGAAGGGGTAGAAGGCTCCTCCACTTAACCCAGTTTATAAGTTGGTGGTGAAAGGTCCTGTTAGGGAAGATGGAGATGTGGGGAAAAGCTGAGACGGAAACAGAGCTTGAGTCTCTCAGTTGAGCAAGCATGTAGCCATTAAGCTATACGTAGAACATGGGCAGTAACACTGCTGTTTTTTGGTGATGCTGACTGCAGCTGCTTTCTTCTGCATGGAACTCAGTGATGCCAATGTGTGTGAGCACGTAGGAAGTATGGTAAGTAGACCTCATGTAAGGGCAGTGCAGTCAAACATAAGAGAGAGATGCTAACCCAGACAGCCCTCTCAAGGTGGAAAAATTTGGTATATGGAGTCACGTTCAAATTTCTGAAGGATCTGGCAAGTAGGAAGTAATTATGAGAAAGAAATCACAGCACCACTACAATAGAACATTTGTTTTTTCCTCTGTCTAGAAATTCAGTTTTATGACCAACTCTGTTACTGCAGATTGTAAAGGGCATGAGTATAGATACCAAAAGTGGTCTAGCTGTAGCAGGACTGACTTCAGTGCAGACTAATTTACTTTTCTTTCTGTCAGGGTAAATTAGTCCACATTGCTTTTCATTTCCGTGGCTAAACTGCTTCTGGTGTCTGAGTTTACTCATTTAAAACTAAATCTGATGTCTCTGAGGCACACTGTAGTTTGCAGTGTTGATGCACCTTTAGTTTGAAATTTACTCAAGTTTATGTTGTCTTGGCTGAAGAGAAGTGAAGACATATCCATGGCTGTATCGGAACTGAATGAATCTGTTTACTTCAATCTGTGATGGTATTGATAAAAATGACTGATACTTAGTTATGATATCTAATGTTTGTCTTTTTGTGAAATCTAAGTGCTTGCCTGTAAGTGAAGGCTGTACTGTTTTGCTTAGGTTCTCCTCAAGAATACTTAGAGTATTACATATTTCCAGTACTTTTACCCGGAATGGCTGAGCTTCTGCATCAAGCAAAGAAGGAAAAGTGTTTTGAGGTTAGTTTTTAGTTTTCAGTTCAAATCATTGGCAGGAAGTTACAGCCTTTTATTTTACAGGCAGTATTTCTTTATTTGGTCTTTTGCAAGAAAACCAACCACAATAACATGAAATAACATATCATGAGTTGTTTTGGATCTAGTCTTGAATGTTGTTCTCTCCAGTAATTCAGAACAGATTGCATACTACACACACTTGATCATTATGACAATCTCTAAATCACAACAAATCCTCCTTAAATATCCAGTTGTATCTAGCCTAAATAATGTTGTATCTTAGAGAAACAGGCTTCCTTTCAGATTACTACGCATCACTCATTTGAGGGTGACGTAAAGAACTTGAATTTTACTTCATTACTGAATTATTTTTGCTGGTCTGGCACCCTAATAGAGGTACATTTTGTATTTTAGCTTTTTAACATGCTGTGTAAATTACATTTAATTAGAAAGCAGGATATTCAGCATTAATGACCTTATAAAAATCGTACATTTTAAAAATAATTGTTTGCTACATATATCTTTATAAATTTGTTTTCAGTGTGCGTAAACATACCTAGAGAGACATTCCTCATTGTATATAGGGAATGCTTAAAAAAGCATTAGAACTGGTGCAAAATAAAGCTCATTGTATCACCATAGCCTAACTCACAGACCCCCAGCAATAGATTAGGTACTAGGAGTTGTGGGGTCTTCCATCATTTCTGCTATTTTCTCCAACCATGGAAGTAATTTTTTTTTCTATTTCTTTCCTGCTTTCTGCCTGCCATCCACACTTTCCAATGTAAAGCTTACTTGTAGCTTCATAACATAAAGAGCAATTAATATAAATGACAATGAAAATATCTCCCTTTTTCTACATGATACACATCTGAGAAATACAGTCTGTGCTCTTGGGATTGTAGATTAAAACGATAGTGAAGCGAGGAGGACTTTGTGTTACTAGTGGGTTATTAATCATCTTAGGTCTTGATTTACCTCCTCTCCAACTACTGACATTGAATTCCTGTTATAGGCATGTGTATATATGATAACAGACATTGTAGAACAATTTGTAAAAATTACATGTGTGCTATTTGCCACTGACCTATACATGCCTGGCACAGTCAAAAATACACAAAGCATACCATGCTTGACTGGACACCCCAAACTTGCATTTCAAATCCAAATCTGTACATTTAATAACAGTAAGTTATTTCAATTTTTGCTCAGTCTTCACAAGATTTGTGTGTGTCTGTAAACTGATTGATTTATAGATGTCTGTATATGTATTTATAATCTGTGATTAATACAGGTAAAGTAGGAAAATGGTTCATTTACATGTCGTTATGGCATGACATCTCTGTACATCATTCCTGCCATCACATTTACATTACCTAGTCAAGAACGGATTGAACATATGTATTATTCATCACACTTTTAATGAAATCTATATTGATTCATTTTTTTTTAAAGGAAGCACATATCCTTTACAGGAAAAAGGCATGTCTTACAACTGGCTTAAAATACAGTCCTTGATAGATGTTACATATTTCTGAAGGCAATAAAACAGCACTTAGTACAAAAATATGAGAATTCTTAGAAATATTTCAGTTTCAAACTTAGGACAAATCTAAGATTACTTTGTTTTTAATCTGAGAAATTTTGCAGAGCTTCAGTGGTATATAGATTAGAAAGTATCTGTTCTGAAAATGGATTTTGTATGGGTCTGTGTGTTGCTTTATAGCAAACTAATAAAAACAATTATTTTCTAATGTATAGAAACTTCATAAAAATGAGCACATCTTATCAAAAAGACACTAAGTGATTTTTGTTGTTATATGAAGAGATGTCCTGCTATTGGGGAACCAAGTTTAGGGAAGCAAGCTTATGTCAGATGATCATTTTCTACTGTGACATCATTTCTTCCTCCTTTTGAACAATAACTGGTAAAACAATAGCTCTTTATACTTGCCATATAACTGAATATTTGTGTTCTTTTCCGTTACTGTCCAGGTGCTTGTACTTGGACATTCTGTTTCCTTATCTGGCTTAAATACGTAATTTCTAATTATACTTTTGTCTCATAAGAAATGTGTTGTTCCATATGGATTTGGAGAAAAAAACATGATATAATTTGTATTAAAATGGTTAGTGCAATAACTGGAACTGATTTTTAGTATCAAAAACAGAGCCCTTAGACACACAGAGAAAGTTAGAGACAGGGAGAAAGGATCTTGTGATAAACACACCAGAAGATAGCTTCAAAAAATAGGAGGCGAACAAAGAGTAGAAAGATTCATGGAATTCATGAGAGAACAAGAGAAGAACATGATTAATTGTGATTAAGCTAACTGAAACCATGAAGGATGAGAACAGAATACTGGGTTTGAATTTTGGCTAGACTTGGGTCATTAAAGCCTGTAAAGGGCAGCTGTATAGTATAAACCAGTGGAAGAAAAGTGGAAGAAGCACTGGAAGAAAGGGAGGAATAATCAAACTGTCTGCAGTCAACGTTGAATGAGCCTGGGAGAAGAGAGAGGGAATTGCGAGGGAAAATGAAGAGTGGGTTTTTGATGAGAGGGGCTAAAGGTTTTCATGTTTTGAAGGGGAATTAAGATGAATGAGAAGAGAATGAAAAATTAAGTAGGAGAGTTGTTTAGCAATTGAAATTGTAGTAAGGGAGATCAGATCATGGGCCCAACAGAGGAATTCAAGGAAGAGATCAGAAAAGATGCATCCGTGTCTGGAAAGGAAGAATTGTAGAATCGGGTGGGAAAGTCAGGAAAGGGAGACGGTTATGCTGCAAGTAGTCATTTGTTTGGGAAAGAAATCTGCAAGGTCTTATTTATAAGGTGATATAGAAACATAACTTAAACATTTCATTTAAAATAGGCTCTCGCATTATGTAGTGCATATTAAAAATCTGAAAAGCAAAAACCTAGAAAAACCACCAGCTGCTAGATATATTTGCAGACTTCAAACTGACATAAATATGAGAACGATCTGCAGAAGCTTCATTTTTAAATTAGAGATGAAAGAAGCCTATTAGGTTGCCCAGTGTATTCCCTTGCTGATTTTTTTTTCCCTACCATAACTTCTCCTGTGCTTTATCCTATCTGCTGTCAAATGTTTCCAGGGGAAAGACTATTTTCTTAAATCTTTTCTCTCATGAGAACTAACTAATGCATTCATTTTTCAGCATTAAAACTGAGCAATGTTTAAATATTTTTATTAGCATAACTCTGATTTTTCTTTCTGGTTAGCAATCACAGAAGGAGGATGCTGTATGGAATATATATATATGGAATATATACAGAATATATATTCTGTAATGGAATATATTATATTTAAAAGTATGATAGATCAGGGAAATTGAATGGAAGAAGGTTTCCTAATGACTTTGCCATCTCCCTATCACCAGTATTTTTGCATGATTATTACCAAGCACATCATATTTAAACTGAAAAATGGAAAATTAATTCTGAACATAAATAGTTTATAAACACATCTGCAGGTTAACAATGCACATTGTGCAGATATTTCCTGTGTTTGTCCTGATTCATGTAGCATAGGAGGAATATGTCAAAGGCAGGTCAATTTATGTCATTTTTTCCCTTCTATAAATGTTGACTGCTGTGCAACTAATGATTTAATTCACTAGCAAAGCAAACTGTTTCCTGGCAAAAAATTAACAAAATAAAAAAATATTCAGCTTGACCGAATTCTTCCCTGATAAGTTCACTGGCTCTAACAAGGATAAAGCAAGATGAATTTGATTCCTTTGGTGATGACTGTTTTGACAACGCTGTTCTGATCGTTTTTTCCCATTGCAAAGGAAAAGCAATTTACTTAAAACAGATTAAATTACAGCTGCTAGATTAAATTGAATTTTGTTGTCAAAGTATAGAATTTATTCTCTGAAACAATTCACTAAGTAATGGAACCCAGTTTCATACTGTAATTGAGAATATCTGTAGAAAGACGATCAGACTCTGCTATTTGTTTTCAGATTCTGTTCAAGTCAAAATTTGTCCATTTAACATCTGAAAAGGCCTGTAGAAAGCTCTCCAGTGAAGGTGTTGGTCTCTTAAAGCTTAGGTGTTTGGCTTCTCGGAACAGTATCTGGTATTAATATGACAAGTGTGAAAATTCCTTAAGGAGATGTGTTTCTTCGCAGGCAAGCACTCTAATGGAGCGCTACATGAACCCCAAAGCTTTTGTTGTCATGAAACAGATCATAAAGGCACATGGGGTTCAGGACTGATAATTGTTTTGCAATGTTCTCTTTTTCTGTTCTTCTGCTTTTGTTTTTAAAGTTCTTTTTCTTTTCTGTGGGAGTCAGTCTGTATGTCTACCAAGGATAAGATACACTTAGAAAAGTAAGAGCTTTCCTGGGTATCATCTAGGAATGCCATGCAGTCTAGCTCTAAACTTCACATCTGTCATCCCCTAGCTACATGACTACCCTGTATTCTTCACTGTGCAGTCAGCACCTCACATAATATTCCTCTTCCACTTCACCTGTGGCTGAAGTAATACACTGACACCCAAATTATGCCATGTGCTAAGACCCCAAAGTGAAAGAATTATGCCATGTAGAGCACTTTTTTTCTGCCTCTCTGTTCACATCCCCCAGTCCTTTTTGCATCATATTCTTGTAGCACATGGAGATGGTGAGATTAATGCATAGAATAAAGTCATTCATCATGCATTAAATTTCCAGTTACATATTTATTGTATTTTTCTTAGCAAGTGGTAGTAGTACCTTAATTTCTTACATTTTAATCAAGACTCCAGCCTCTTTTGTGACATTTAGCAGTTTCACAAATGTGTTTGACCAGTGTGAATTGTTTTCCTAAAAAGTAATAATTGCAGTTGAATCTCCCATTTGACAGGATAAGTATTACCTTCTGGATGGGAGCTGGGCTTTCTCTTAGCTAAATGGCTGCTATTTTGATAAAGCACTCAGTGTCTCTGTTCTGCAGGGGCTTAATGTCTTTTAGTGTTCACTCTCTGGCTGTGTACATCCATAACACATCTCACATAAAAGGGGTTCAGAAGATATTAGTCAAGCTCTTCTGTTATTCTGACCAGAAGTCTATGTTATATTCTCCACATCATGGTTTCTCTGGTTTGTGATAAACAGAATAAGCACCCGTACTCATTTATACATTCAATCTGTGAAGATGGAACATGGAGAGGAAATCTCTAAGAAAAGGAAGGCCCTAATCAATTCTGTATTGACCAAAATTCATGCTTTGAATTTTGAACTCAAGACGTATTTTACAGCATGCAGTGCTGTCCAGCTAAACAGGTACTGGCTGCATGAGTCACTAAGGCTAACCCGCTGCAAAACATTTTGCAAAATTCTCTTTGGTGGTGAAGTCTTAGAACTGGGAGCAAAGGGCACAAATGTTTTGCTCCGAAGCTCCAGGTTTTGAACTTTTTACCTGATTCTCTGTAATGTCCATGGTATCTGTGTTGTGGATATACATGTACCTTGTTTCTGCCTTCCTTTCTGGACTACCCAACAGACGATTTTGTCCGAGTAGCCATACAATACTCTGCTGTGTCTGTGTCTTAAGTATTCACAACGCCTTTAAGCTGGTTCCATGCAGGAAGAAACAATATTCCATCAATGTTCCTTCTGTGCCTTGGAAGCAATGAAGTATTTTAAGTATGATAAAGAACTTTGAACAAAATGGCAAGTAATTTACAGCATATTTTCCTATATGAGTTCTGTTAATTTCTTTGCAATGAGATTGGCACTTAGAAAGAACACCATTCTGAGATATCTGTTATAGCCATACTGCAGCAAATATCCAGATAGTATATGTAGAATTTTCTCACTCATTGTTTGACTTGACTTGAAAGCATTCCACAAAACTTCTAAAATTTTGTCTGAGCCACTGACTGTTGGCAGTAGCAATATTAAAGTAGACAGAGCAATGTACTGTATATTTTATTTAATAAAAGCAGTCAATTTAGCTTCTGTTCCTCTCCAGTAGTAAAAACATGTGACCAATCCAAAGACAATAAATAATTTGAAACTATCTTCTATCTTTAGAGAAAAAGGACAAAATTTATTGCCTGTGATTTCCTGACTGAGTGGTTATACAAGTAAGTTAATCGTGGCTTTTACTATTCAATTATGCTCAGTGATTCAAAGGCATTAATTTGCAAATAGAATAGCTACAATTTAAATTAATATGAGTTGTTTTCTTTTTTTTTTTTTGTTATCAGCAAGAACCCAAAGAGGAAAGATGAGTCATTCACAGAATTCTTTTCCATTCCTTTTGTTAACGACTGGCTAAAGGACCAGTAAGTTATTGCAGTACTCGGAGTAACCTTTTCTCCTTTTATTCTTTTTCCCCTGCTATTCCAAAAAAGTAAGAGAGCTTCAATGTGTTACAGTTGTGCCCTCTAAATGCCCTTTACTGCGTGCAACAAAGAACTGGGTGATGCTTTCTAACTTGGTAGTGTATTAATTACAAGGTATTTTGTACCAGAATTGTTCACAGAGAAATTAATTTAGAATTCTTAAACATTTTAATTGTAGAGTGCAGGGCATTCAAATAGTCTGGTAGTATTAAGAGTATCTTTGTACTAAGGAGCAGAGGAGTGTTTTCAATGCTGCTTCCTACTATGGAAGTCTTTGAGGATATACAGTCTAGAAATTCTTCCTCTAACTGTAAGCAGCTGTTTTAAAAATACCTGTAATAATCCTTGGCGTCAGGATGCATTTCTGCAGACGTTTATGACTTTGCATGTGAGAAATGAACACTTGTTTTGGCAGCCTCAATCATATATTCCTCATTATTCCTGTAGAACCAAGCTACACAGTAGTTTTGAAAGAAATGTTACTGCCCTTGAAACTGCATTTTGGTTTAAAATGTAGCTGTTGTAGGAGAAAAGAAGAAAAGTAAAGTGATAGTCCACAGTGAGAGAATAAGAAAATTACAGAGGTCAGATTTTAAAGAAAAGTTTCAATTTGAAAACTTAATTGGAGGCTAGGTTGGTGGTTGGTGAAAACTTAGAGATTAATATCTTTGTAGATATGTTTAGTTCATTACACTATGTAAGTGGAAATTGAGCTTTCTTGAACTCTTGTCATGTGAAACTTAGAACCTTGAGTCACTGATCCAGCAGGAGGAAAGCTCCTTGACATTCACAGGTCTTTGGAGAAAAGCTGGTGATCATGGCACGAACAGTTAACTTTGACCACATGACTACCTTTAAGATAGTTAAAGTTGTGTAGGAAGTTTCTGCAGTAAGAGATGGACATCTTTGGAGCGTGACCCATTTCATCTCAACTCCGATACCTTCAGGTACCTGCTACTGCATCGTACTGCCCAGCCGCTGTTGTTCAAACCTACCACTGGTGGGACACTTCTAACAGTTTCATTCTGTAGATCACTAGGTCTGGTCAACAAGATTCCCATTTAAGGCAGTGAATTTTTAGTTTGGAAACCGATTATGAGCTGCAGTGAGGTTGTCATACTCATTTCTTAAGCATACTGAAGAGCCATCGATTAGTAAGGCAGTTTGTTACCACTGAATTGTGAGGATGGATATTTGTACCTAAGATAAGTATCTAAGATCACAGTTTTACAAACGTTTCTCTTGGAAGTAAAGCTGACCTAAATGGTACCCTGCTCTCTCCCGTTCTTCACCCCAACCTGCTTGTAGGCAACCTAGTATCACCTTATCTGTTTGGTAAGGTGCTTGGTTATTCTGATCAGGGACATCCTCCAAGTTAGAAATCTCTCTGCCAAAATGTGTGAGGAAGGTTTGTATAGCTATTTAAAATATAGATAATTTCTCCAATCTGGTTCACCTGGGAGCCTGACAAACCTTTGTATTGGCACAAATGAAGGATTAAAATGAAGGACTCAGGGCAAGGTGAAGAAAACAAACGAGCTGGTAAGATACAGAGGTGGTGGCAGGAACTGCTTAAGTCAGCTTTGCCAACAAGAGAAATACACTGTGGAATCACAGCCTGAATGACTCATAGCTTCTGTTAGTACTTGTGCTCCTAAATAACGTAGTGACAGCTCCACAAGGACACTGAAGTGTCAAAGTCCTACTTAAACTGATACACACTTGATCTTAAATCCTATAAACAAGTAGGCCTTTAAAAATAATTATTATTAAAAACCAACTTTTTGTGTAATTATCTTAAAATTACATATTTCTTAAATATTGCTTATGAAGTAAGCATTATTAGAGCAAAGTGAAAGATTGCAATATTAAATAAGAATAAAAATGAGAGAATTTTTAAATGTGATATCTGGAAGGACATAATAATAATGTAATTGATTCTATGCTTTTTATTGTCAATTCCATTTTTATTTGTAAAGGAGTTTTCTTTTTTTAACAGGAATTATGAATATGTAAGATACCATATGCTAAAAAGTGGTGGTCAAATTTTGATGGGAAACATCCTTATCCCAACTGTTTAGTTGGTATAATAAAGAAAAAGAAGTAAAAAGTGTTGCTGCAAATTTAAGGGGTAAACTCTTGTGTTGCTTTTTCAGTTACTTGTCTAAATTTGGAAAGCATTCTGAAAGGTCTGTTAAATAGGAATACATTTCTATACTGTGTTAAAATAGGGTTTATCAGTGCAAAGTGGTCTTCATACTTAAAAAAAGAAAACCAAACAAAAAAAACCCCAGAGGGATAAATTTTTCTTCTATCAGAGATCCAGCTTTTTTTAATATATTCCATACCTGAGTATTACTTTTTTGGCTCTCCTCCAGTGCCTCCAGTTTTTTCTTTGAAGCTCAATTTTTTTTAAGAATAGTCAAAGCCAGTTTTCTGAGCCTCACTCTCCGTATGATGTGTTTCTAAGTGAGATCTTGCAGCCCACTTTTCCTTTATAAGGAGACCCAAATGCTGCATCGGTTTCCAGAATTTTAAATGCAAACATTGTACCTTCAAAAGCTGGTTGCTGTAGATGAAGGAGCTTGTAAAATTTGAATTTGTTTCCAGCTTTAGTATTTATAGTAATTGCTATGACATCAGTAAATAAAAGCCTCAGTATAGTTACCTTGTCTTCCACTGGGTTCTGTATATTACCAGTAACACTGACAAAATATTGTATCCCATGGGAATCCTTGATTGCTGAAGCAGATTTCAAAAGCAATAGAAGGAGCAGTTTCAAGACTGACTAGTAATCTACATTTCACGTGCAGGAGAACACAAAACATTTCTGTTGTCTTAAAGGACAGCTGTACTTTTCAGAGGACACGAAACTGGAGTTTTAACAAGAAACTAACAAAAGTTTTTGGAAACTTGCTGAGATACTTACTGATGTCCCTATTCCTACATTCAAGACGGCTGATATAGCCAAGTAAAGTAAATAGAATTAGAGCCTTGACTGTTTTGTACTCCTATAAATATGCTAATGAGAACACAGTTGCCTTTTGTCAGCATTTACGAGTGGTGTTTCTGGTTGAATAGCAGTGAAGCTCAATTGCAAGTAACCAAACTCTATGTACTGAATCAGGGACAGGGAAAGAGAGTGATCTGTGTTTATGCCGATACCCCTTACATTTTACTTTTCTGGCATAGATAGGCTGAGTCTTTATTCTAGTATCATGGGAATATCATTACCCAACCTTCTTTAGCATATTAATGAAAGAAATATGAAGAAAACAATAAAAAATAGTTCCACTGCTCTGAAAAATACTGATATCATAAAAGTCTACTGTCACATGAATTTAATAATATGACAGTATTGTTCAAGTTCACCTTCAACCCTTATATTTAATGAAAGAGAATGCTGTAGGGATCTAGGTTAGGAATAAGCATAAGTATTTTCCTGGCTGTTGAAGGTCAGTCTTTGTATGCATATTTCACAGGGGTTACAGGAACTGAAGGTGTATTTTATAAATAAACAGTCATTGACAAGAATTTATTTATCTGCATTTTCTCATTTTCTATATAGAGGTATTTACTTGATACTTACTCAGTTCAGAAGGAGACATTTCCTGGTTTAATCTATCGGTGTGTACCAAAACAAATGTGCAGATACAGAGAAAATAAATTTATCATGGCTTTAATGAAGTGGACAGCTAAGATAGATATATGTATGTCTATAAATGATTACTAAATCTGAAGTAGTGGCTTTTTGCCCAATATCTGTATATACATATATGTACATTGATTTTATTTTTTTTTTTCCTCCCTCCCCCCCAATATTTGAATTAGGTGAAGTCTGCTGGTCTCAGCTGCCTTTACAGTTGACTTCATTGTCAGTTCTCAGATGGCCAATAGGGGTAATTTTGCACGGGTGACTGATTTCTTTCTTTCCACAATGTGCCTAGTTTCTACAGGCTTTGCTTTCTGCACACTGCTACATTTCACTGGTTTGTCTCTAAACCAGCCATGTTTAGAGTATATTTAATTTGCATTATGTTTTTTCTTTCATTTTCTTTAATAATTTGAGCTTTAAATTTTTTTTGGGGGGAGGGGTATGATGAGCAGCACATTTAATTGTAATAACAGGAAAGTCCAACAAATATGTCTGTATGGATGTTATTCTATGTGGATCCAAGTAAAGAATTGCCATTCCAGTAACGTGGCAGAATTCAAGTTAATGAAGGAGAAAATTTTGACTTAAAAAACTACAACTGTGTGTTGGAAAATTGCACAAAGTTTATACAATATTTATATTGTGTAATGGTGTTTTATGAGGTTGAGGTTTTATGGCTACAAATCCTGATGCAGTGTTGAAACTTGCCTTAATTATGTAAGACTATCAAAATGGCAATGAGAAAATTGAAAACATGTTAGTGGTTTGTGACATCTTCCTAATGTTGCTGTTAGAGCACTAATTGGAGATTATTTTTGCTGCTGTTAGTTTTTCATGTTTACAGGATACAAGGTCTGATCTAAAGTACACAAACATAGATGGAAATTTCCCCACTGACATGAGTGGACTTTGGAATAGGTCCATGTTTGGTTTCCTTCAGTCCAGGACCACAAACACTCTTACAGAATACATAAATATTGGTCCTACGAAAGAGAAAACTGAGGCAACACATTGTGACTTGCAAAATACATAGCAAGTATGCAAGCACAGAAGGAGGACTGAGTTTTATCATTAAAATGGATAAGTCCTCCACGAGTAGAGAGCATTTTAAGGGGCAAGGAAGCCACTATAATTTTCAGACAAAACTTAAGACGAAAGATTCTCGCTCTGTTATTATATTGGCATGTTCTCACTGCTAAGAATTCTTGCTGTGCTCTCTCTAATTCCTTTCACATTCTTGTTACCATTCATCTGTTCTGCCTCATTCTCCTGTCCATTGTATGAT